TTACAATAGCGTAGTGATCTCAGAAGATCAGCGATTTCGCACAGAGCTGCTGAATGTCAGGCGCCCTGGGGCTCACGTGTACACATTCCCCAAACTATGTTTACACTTAAGGGATCTTCTTTGTTTTCGAAGGAACTGGGCTCCGCTGTCGGGTCCGCAGCCTTGTGGTCGCCGTCGCTGCCCCGTCGCGGCCTCGTCGCATTGCGTTGCCTTGCATGTCCTTGATCTGATTTCTTGACTTGCATTGCTTTGCACTGATTTGGATTGCTTTACCTGGCTTTGCATTGCTTTGCATTGCTTTGCATTGCTTTGCATTGCTTTGCATTGCTTTGCATTGCTTTGCATTGCCCTGCATTGCTTTGCATTGCCTGGCGATTATTGGCATTGTTTCGCATTGCTTCTTACCTCTTCCCCAAAATGTAGTTTCACTTAGGGTTCTTACTTGTGTTCCAAGAAACTGGGCTCCATTGCCAGGTCCGCCACCTTGTTGTCGCCGTCGCCGCCCCGCCGCCGCCTTGTCGCCGACCGTCGTCTGGGATCCATTGCAGGGACAGCCGCCTTGTTCTTGCCATCGCCACCCCGTCGCCGCCGCCCCCTGCCCCCAGGGATACCCGTACGGCCTCGCGTACTGCAATTTACTGATGAATATGCCCCATCGTTCACTTTTCGCATGAAATCATACCATCACAGCAAGACTGGGTTCGACTACCCCCCCTATCCTCGTCAAAGAAAACTATGCGCGCACGTGCCACAGGGAGCGCCAGTGGACGGGCCAGGGCACGTGCCAGGAGACGTGCCGCGGGACGCGCCAGTGGACGGGCCATGGGACCTGGCGGTGTACGCACCAGGGGACGTGCCCAGGGAAGCACCGGAGCGGCACAGACCGCAACACTCTGAGCCGAGAAAAATGCACCCAGCAGCTCCAGGCTCCATGCACCCAGCTCGGCAGCCTCTGCTGACAGGGCAAGCGCACTGGCCACCGCACCAAAAGGCGCCGTAGATCGAAGCCCTGCGCTTCGAGCCTCCCCCTGTGGCTGCAACCATTGGCGGTGCCACGCTGCGGACTGGGCCAGCAACGTGGCGAGGACCGCCAGCCGCCATGACTCGTCGTGGCATCCTGCCCAAGCTGGCGGGAGCCTCGGGCAAGACGAAGGGGCCCGCCTCGCCGGACCTCCTCAGTAGCGTCCAGCTTCGAGGGGACATGCCGACGAGCCTTCCTCGACCGAGGGACCGCATCGGGGGAGGCGGGCCTACCGCCCTCGGCAGAAAGCGGATCGGAGCTTCGAGCCCGTTGGACTGCGGCAGCCTGCCTCTCTCCGAGGCAGGCGCAACCCGACCCGACCCGTGGCGGCTTGAAGAAACGAGCTGAGGCTTCAGTCCTCCTCCCACTTTACCCCCCCCCCTCCTCCTCGTAGGATATGAGATGCGGCTGGCTTAGAACGTCCCCCCGTGGGCGGCATGGCCGACGACCCCGCGGGGAAATCGCAGCCGAGCGCCCCTCAGAGATCCTGGCAGCCACGCAGCCACTCGTGAGCAGGGTGATGGACAAATCTATCCATGCCAGGCCAGTTACAACTTTTTCCAAACCACCCCCTCCCTCGAGTCGACGCAAAAGGTGCAGCCAAGACTCATGGACTGTGGAGTAGAAAAAAATGGTGCACGCCGAGCTGGCCCAGCTGGCCGGGCGCCTGGCCCCTCTGGCTGGGGGCGTGCTCGACAGCCAGAGGTAGCGTCGAGGGGCCAGGGAACCCCCGCCCCCCCTGAGCAGCAGGACATCTATCTGCAGGTGACTCGCGCCTCAGAGCGTATGCTGTGCAAGCTTTGCAGTGTGGCACGCCGTAATGGTGAACGGTTGTCGCGTTTCCCAACAGCTACACAGAACGCCGCATCGATAGCGGATGGGCCAACACGCCCTAAATGTAGCAGCAGTCAGCTTGAGTGCATTCGCGTCGCGACTGGCGTTTGGGATCAAGCCCCTCTCTTGGCAGGAAAAGCATCACGACATGGTACCAGAGCCGTGGTAACACACGGCTCGGCAATCCTGGTCGCCGCAACGCCCGCCAAACGCGGGCAGCGATCCACCAGCAGGGCTGCGGCCCGCGTGCGCCGTGGTTCGGCACGCAGGCTCGCGCCCCGGGCTGCGGTTGGCCCCTCGCCGAGGCGCAGGACACAGCGCCAGGTATTGGCGGCGAGCGGGGGGGAAGTGAGAAGGAGAAGGCCTTCTCAGAAGGCTCGGAAGTCCCCTGGCCTTCTGGGAAGTTTTCCGAGCCTTCCCCGAAGACAGAGGAAACTTCTCAGAAGGCGCGGGGCCTCTGAGAAGTCCCGCCGCCTTCTGAGAAGGCCTTCTTCTTCTCGCTTCCCCCCCCTCGCTCGCCGCCGAAGGTAGCGGGCAGCCCCGCACCCTGGCACAGTGGAGGAGATGCGCGCTTCGATGGAGGCGCTGAACGCCCGGCTGCGAGCACAGCAGAACGGCGTGCAGCAGCTCCAGGGCGACAGCAGCTCCGGCAGGAGATCCAGCAGGCCGGGCGGGCGCCTCGTGTGGAGCTGGCGCCACCCCCGAGCGGGGTGGTCGACGCCAGAGTGATCAGCAAGCCAGGCGAGTTCGCGGGCGACGTGGCGAAGGTCGCGGGCTGGAGCTGCAAGATGAAGGCCTACCTCGGCGCTGTGGACCACAGGTACAAGGCAAGCTGATGGCGGCAGAACGGTCGCAGGTCACGATACGGAACGCCACGATGGAGCCGGACGTCGCCAGGCTCAGCACGCAGCTGTACTACATCCTCGTGATGACCACATACTTTGCATGCGTTAAGCCTACAGGCGCCTAAGACACCATAGATGCGGAAAAGGCGCACGCCGGCTGCATGCCACCCTGGCCCTGGTGGCCGTGGAGGGGATCGCGCAGTCAGTCCGGTTTACGGTCGCGAATAGCACCGCACCGCATCCAGAAGATAATGACCTTGATGCGACGGTCGCGGGTAGCACCGCACGGCATCTTGACGGTAACGAGTTTGATGCGATGGCTGCGGGTAGCACCGCGCCAGCGCATGCGATCCAGCAGGGCGCGGGCAGCACCGCCCCTGATCGAGAGGCTCACGCCTAGGAGTGCCCTGGGGTGACCTTGCGGGCCATCTTGGGCCCAAGGCGGCGGCCAAGAGGGTCGCTGCGACCAGGTGGTCGCGGGCAGCTCCGCACCACTGAACCTCGCCACACACGCCGGGGGGCGGAGAGACGTGGGCCTGGTTGGGCCAAGGAGCCCATCTCGACCAGGCGAGAGAGATCCTGAGTGACTGGTGAGAGTACGGACAGACACTCGGACGAGGGGAGGAGGCGACTGCCGGAGCTGTGGCATCGCCTGGCTGCTTTCTTGCATGTGACGCTCACTGTCGCTTTGCCCAAGATGGGCTGGCAGCGATGGAGGGGTGTCGAGCCCACATGCATAATACAGACATCGACGCAAGCTGTGTGAACCCCCAGCTGGCCGACACATAACGTATCCCAAAAAGTGGGATAAGGCATCCAGAGCGTATGTTGTGCAAGCTTTGCAGTGTGGCACGCCGTAATGGTGAACGGTTGTCGCGTTCTCAACAATTACACGGAACGCCGCATCGATAGAGGATGCGCCGGCACGCCCAAGATATAGCAGCAGTCAGCTTAAGTGCATTCGCGTCGCGACTGGCGTTTGGGCTCAAATCCCCCTCTTGGCAGGAAAAGCATCACGACAAAACGCGAGCTGAATTCGAGGCGCTGGCGAGCAAATGGTACTGATGAGACGGAGAACCCCCGCCCCCACTAAGCACGGCGGGATTTCCGAGAGCAATGGTTCCGCATCCCGTTCCGCTCTCCGGTCCGCTCCTCGTCTCCCCCCCCTGCAGTCCCAGCGAGCGGGCCCACCACAGGACACCCAGCCTTCCGACGATGTGCCTCAGATGCTCCATGGCCCGTCGTCCCCGCTCCAAGGGCTGAGCCCATTGCCGCTGAAGCAGCTTCCCGTGGACTCCGAATCGAGGCCGACGCTGGCCGTCACGCCGCCCCCGTGGGACGACCTGCCGAGCTTCGGGAGCAGGCTTCGGCGACTCTGCGCTCTCCCGGGCCTCCTCCAGCAGGTGCCAGTGCGCCAGGGCCTGCTCGTCGTTGTTGCGGGCAGACCTGCAGCGCTCCAGCTGCGGCGCGATGAGTGTGGCCTCCCGGCTGCCGCTCCCCAGGCACCGCGCGGGTGCATGGCAGAAGGCCTCTGGGAACGGGAACACGTCGAAGCACAGCCAGTCCGCCACCGTGCCGCGCCACCGAGTGGAGTATCCTCGGGTCCCTGGTGGTCTTCAATGTACTTGCGTATTGCAAATGCTCTTTGGAGGCCCCAGTCCCTCGGGGTATGGGGATATTTGAGCGCTTCTGGGCGCTCGTAGGATGTGCGCGTGACTTTTTCACAGCCCCTCGGGAGTCTCGTTGGGACAGAAGCTTCCACCATGCCATACGGTAGGTTCGCGTCGTGTCGACCAGCGGCGACCCCGCCGAGGGCGTTCAACGTTGAACGCCGCGGGCGACCGAGATTCGGTCCATGTTGAACGAGCTGACGTTTCGCAAGGAGCCGATCGTTCAATGTTGAACGATTCCCGCGGTATCAGCCCTGGAGTGGACATGACACGAAGCCGCGGTAACACAGCCCCGAAGAATCGTCCCAGGGCTCTCTTGGGCCATCTCTGGAGCCGTCTGGGCCGGCCCAAGAGATGCAATTCCTTGAAACACCGCTGGGGCTTCTGTATGAGGTCGATGGCGTTCTCTCCTTTTCGTTCCTGTGAGCGTCCAAGACGGCCCAAGAGGTACCAAAGAAGCCCCCAAGACGCCCCAAAAGCTCCCATGAGGTGTCCAAGAAACCCCAAATAAGGCCACAAAGGGGGAACTCCAACTGATATGTGGTACCCCCGAAACTGTCAGCAGGCCTCCGAGCGACACCCAAAAGGCCCTCCTCATCCTCCACCCCCTCTGCCCCCATCGCTCCCCACCGGCAGGTCCCAGACGGAGCTGTCCGTGTACCAGCCCATGCAGAAGGCAAGCAGGAGGGTGCCTGCCCTCCCCGGCAAACGGGGGGGGGCCCTCCGCCCACGTACGAGGGCGCGGCAGGCAGGGCCACCTGAAACTTCTGGAGGGGCGAGGGGGGAGGGGGGAGGAGTGGAGGAGGGGGGAAGGGGATGGCTGTGAGGAGGGAGGAGGGAGAGAGGGAGGGGAGGGAGGGGAGGGAGGGCTCAAGCCACTGCCCTGGCCAGGCCCTCCCTCCTCGCCTGCCCTCCCCCCTCTCACCCGCGCCTTGTTCCCCCCCTCGCCGCGCGATCGCCTGAGGAAGGGCGCGCTGCCTGACGGCGACCGTTGCGCTGGGGGCTTCATCTGACAAATCGAAGGGGGGCCTGCGCCCCCCATCATGGCCGCGGATCCGGGGCGGGGTCGGCAGCCTGGAGGCGACGGCAGGCGGCGGCAGGCGGCGGCAGGCGGCGGGCGGGGCCGAGCCGCAGCCGCGGTGCTGATGCGGGTCCACGCTAGCCGCTAGCAGTGCAGCGTGCAGACTACGGACTACGCATGTGCCGGCACGCTGCCAGGCATGGAACTTCACCTTCGAGCCAAGCGAAGTCCGCATGTGCAGCGCGCGTGCCCATGCGCATCCCCGATACTGGCACGACGGCTGCGCATCCACACCGCAGGGGAGACCTGAGAACATCGAGGGATTCCCGGACCTGACCGCCGAGCAGCAGCAGAAGATGATGCCGTTCCTCCTGCTGCCCTCCGACCCTGTCCCCCCTCCTGCAAAGCCAATCCCACCGCCCGCCCGCTCGGCTCTGGCCGGTCACGGCCCGGGAGCGGCGTCCATGGGCGGGGGGGCCGCTCAGGAGGAGATCCAGGAGCACTAGGAGCCCGACAGGCCTCGGCGCCTGCGTTACCTGGAGTGGCGGGGCGGTTCCGGAGCCGACGGTCTGGGCTGCCTGCACACATCAACCGACGCCCTCCTCCTCAACCAGGCGGCCACCCTCCAAGACCCGCTGGGCCGCTCAAAGTCGCCATCGGGGAGGCCTGGAAGCCGCTGCGCAGGCCGTTTTGGACGCCATCAGCGACGTAGCTCCGCGGGGCGCGGATCCAAGAGAGAAGCTCGGCCATGCGCGGGATCTTGTGGGCGACCTGCTGCTCGAGAAATTCGCTCCTCACGGCTTTGCGCACGTTTTCGCTGTCGATCCCCAGCAACGCGCGTCCAGGGCCGAGCACCCACTCGAGTTGCAAGTCGCGGCGAAGGCTAATGCAGCCGCTGGGGCACGCCACCCCGCACTGCGCGTCCACACGGCGGCCGGCCCCTCGTCGACGAACATCTTCACCCAGGCTCGCATCGCAGTGCGCCACACCGCGCTGGCCAGCGGCCGGATGTCCTCGGTGGGCTGCCCCGCGCTGTCCGTCCTGAGCGGGGCGTTGAGCCGCGCGGAACGGTGGACTCGAATCGCCTCGCGCGGGGCGCGCCCAGCAGGCAGCATGGCGAGAACTCGCGCCAAGAGGGGGGTCGAGCCGGGGACCGCGTCGGAATGGCGGATGCGTTCGTAGACTGTGCCCGTCGGACCAGCCCCACGCATCGGCGGCAGGTGGCGGAGTTCGTCGGCGATGAAACCAGCGAGCTCCTGGACAACCTCAGGGGAGGCAGCCGGTAGCGGGGGGCGATCGTCCATCGACGAGACAAGGAACTTGGCGCGGAGCTTGCCCACGACAGCGGGGCCCGTGGCAAACGTGACGGGCTCGATGACGCGGACGATCGCCTTGCTGACGGCATTGTTGCGGATCAGCGCCTCGATGGACTGCACCTCCTTCGTCGCCAGGGTTTCCGCAGAACGCGGCTGGGCGAGTGCCGAAGTGCGCATGCGGTTATTATCGACGTCGGTGAAGAGCTGGTGCCGAGCCCCAGACCAGAAAGCGCCCAGGCGAGCAGAAATGGTCTTGCTCAAGGTCGCATGTCCTTGGCGTCTTCTGCCGCCGCGGCTGCGGGGGGCAGCACCAAGCACCAAGGCGTCGAACGCGGAGAAAGCTTCCACGCTCGATCAAGGTTCACGTTGTCCCCAGCCTCGTCGGCGGACGACGTGAACTAGCAGCGCCCGCGGCGCCCGCGGCGCCCGCTACGCCTGTCGCACCGGCAGCGCCCGCGGCGCCCTCGTCGCCCGCGGCGCCCGGGACGCCCGCGGCACGCACGCCGCCCGCAGCGCCGGCAGCGCGGGCGGAGGCGGCCGCCCGCTGCCGCCGCCGCCGCCACGCCGCCACGGTTTCCTTGACGCCGCGGCAGGAGCGCGCACATGAGGCAGGGGCGGGTTCGAGCCGAGGCACCTTGAGCCATACTACGGGCCATTGAGCGAGAATGGAAGGAGGAGGAGAGGGATGAGGACGAGAGGGATGGTGGGATGAGAGAGGGGACGGGGGAGGAGAGGAGGAAGGAGGAGGCGCACATAGGAGGAGATGCGAGTCGCTAAGAAGCAGAGACGGCATTGACGCGGATGCCCGAAAAACTGTCACCGCGCCTGCCTCCCACACCAGGGGATACTGAAACAGAGATCGAAGGTAGCGTCATCTGTCTCATCCCTTCCCCAGCCGATTCCTTCATATCCTGTGGCGCTTCCCGTACCCGCCAGATGTCCCCTTGGCCTACAGATGGGCGAATTGATCGGGACAGCATACAAGTCGCACGAAATGTCACTATGAGGAAGTAGACCCCAGAAGATTCGTCGACAACTTGTTGTGCAACGCACAGGGAGGTGAAAGCACGCGGATGACACAAGCACAGCACGGCACGAGTGAGACACGCTTACAGCAAGAATAGAGAGCAACAGACTGGTAAGAAGAGGAGGGAGGAGGACGACGACGGCACCAAAGAGAAGGAGGAGGGAGGAGGCATGGCAGGAAGGAAAACGGGCGGAGGGAAGAGGAGGAGCAAAGCGGGTGGAGAGAGGAGAACTCATAAGTAGAAAGGGAGAAGGGAGAAACTAGCGAGGCAGCAGCAGGGGTGTGTGGGGGAGGGGCACGGTCAGCAATGAAGGGGGGAAGAGTAGGACGCCCGCAAGCCTGCCTGCCTACCTCCCTGCCTCCCTGCCTCCCTGCCTCCCCGTCCCCCTCTCCCGTGGGGCCTACGAGCTGGTAGATCTCCATGCGCGCAGTGGTCAGCTCGGTCAGGTCGCGGATGTCCTCCCCTCACAGATA